GCTGTGGATGGAGCTCCTCTACCACATAGAGCTCTTGCCTCAACCAGAGCAGAGAATCTGTCCTCCTTGAGGTCTTTGAGTTTCACTTCCACCATCAAAAGAGGATCGAAGAGCACGAGCAACTTTGAGACCTTCAGCAGAAGCACATCCGTCAATTACACTTCCAACATGCGAGTGAGAAGCGTAGGTTCTTCAAGGCAAACTTCGCCAATGTTCCCGAGGACTTCCGCTACCGAAGAGACTCGAAGCGAAAGCGCCGGCAGCCACTCACGAGGAGGTTCTGGTTCTGTTGTGCATGTGATTTACACCGATCATTCACTACGAGAATCACAATCATCACATCAGGGTGATATATCGGAACCAGAAGATGATGTCTTGTTTACCGATCCATTCGAGACCGTTGATCAAGAGGAAACGAAAGTTTTGCCAGATATAGGAGTGACCGTGGACGAAGCCGAAGAGGAAAAAGCAGTCCGTCGTTCCTTCAGCGAAATCGTCCAAGATGGCGTAGCTGCGCTGACTCGTGAGCAGCTTCGATCATCTAGAAGTTCAAGCTGCGTTCCGAATGTGTGCTTGCGAGCCCACGCCCATCTGAATGCGTACGAGTTGTGCGAGAGGCACAGCTTCACGGATAGCAGAGATCTGTTATGTAATGTTGACTTCCTGTGTAGACTGAATTTTGCTGCCAATCGCATGACGGAGGACATAGCGGACGAAGCCGGAAGAGAGTTGAGGATACATTACAGGGCTCAGGCAAATCCACGCGCTCGCTACTTCGCCGGCACAGCTCTATCCCGTCAATCGACCTATTCGAGCATGGATGATGAGCAGGCAGCAGGGTGAGTGTAATTTACCATAAACTAGCAAAAATAGGATGTGTCAGAAACACTATGTCAAGAAATCGAAACGGAAGTTACACATCCGTTTTGATTTCTTGACATAAATAAGAATTTTGTTTCACAATTCGACAAGTTTTTGTTACGTCCCATGATACTCATTTCGAAGTACCAAGCCAAGATCCCAGTTAGTGTAGTGAAATGAGTAGCATGAAAAGTACAGTTTGTCCCAATCCTAATCAGGATGGCATGGCGGGAATCCGCA